AGGAATGTTTAAATTACATTTTGGAGGGAATTATTTAAAAAAGAGATCGAATTTGAATTCAAAATCTAAGAGGAATTTATTTAGGAAAAAAGGAGGAATTAAGGGGGGATTATTTAGGAAAGGTTTAATTATAATTAGGAGGTAATTAATTAGGGAAATAAATCTAATTTGAATTTAAATATGAAAGGGGATTATTTAGGGAAAGGGGGTTGATTTGGGAGGGAATTATGGGAGCCTATTTAAGGATAACAATAGGGTGATTTTAAATTATGTTTTGGGAGTTTGTTGAATTTAGTTTCTTCTTAGATTATTTGGGCTCTAACTGGCAGCTAGGGATTTGAGAGAGCCGAATCTTCCTCTCCAATTGAATATCCAATTGTATATTGCATTTTTCTTTATAGTTCTTTCAATAAAAATTATTTTGAGGCGTTCTTCTTCCCAATTTTTCGTGTTTCATCCGCTGATTTTTTTGAAGAGTGCATCCACTTACTATCACTATGCTATGTACCATTGTGCTTGCTATTTTGAGCTAGTTACATATATGATCGAATATTTCATAAACACTCATATCACCAACCCAAGCATAAAAAAAGAGAGAAAAGAGGTGACCATCTAAATTATTTTTCACTCGGTCCTCATGATTTTTTGGATGGACTTTGAAATGAGTGAGGTAATGTAAAGTGAGGTGTTATTCATGTCTAAAACGAATGCATATCCAAGAGCCCTCCCCAATTCTCTTTTTTCATACGCTTGTAAGTAAGCCTCAGTTATAAATTAATGACGAGAATCAGTTGGAGGTTTCTCACCTGTTAGGACCCTATTTTAAGGTGATCTACTTCCAAGCAGTAAACATCAAACATCTTGATATTGAACCACGCAAGGAGATTTGAAGGAAAGTCTACAAAGGCCTTAATCCTTTTGATATTGCTTTTAGGAATGACAGTTGTTAGATCTGAAAGAGAAATTAATAACATGATTGTTTCTAGGAGCTAAAGGCATCACATTATGCCATTAAAGGGATCGAAAGAAGACTTGCATAAAGTGATTAATCAAGATTGAGAAATCCATATCAAGAATGCATCCCCCACCCAATTCACAAGTTAACTAACATTCTAAATAATACAAAAAATCTTTTGATAAAATTAAAAACTTTTATGTAGTCCATTAAAAAGAACGAAAGTTTCTCAAGAATGAATTTAAGTTGAAGTCCTTAACAAACTCCAAACAAGAAGCTTATTCTCCTCCATGGAGTGATCAAACATAAAAGCCTTTTGGGTCTCATAAATAATTGGTAAATGATCTCATTGAATCCATTGGTCAATAACATGTCAGTGATCTTATACAAATTAATATATTAATAAGTGATGGGCCTAAAGTCTGTCAAGCAATGCATGTTAGGGTGCGACGTGACTCACAACATTCTACTTTGTCAATCTTTAGTTATTTTGAAGGGAGGTCCCTTATAACTTTCAATTCAGATTAATGGATCTATTTAGACTTTAAGCTAAGCCCAATTTTTTTTTCCTTTTCAGGTTCTCCCTAAGAAATTTGTGTCCTCTATTGTGTAGTTTTTTTTTTCTCTTTTATTTGTATATGTGTGAGATTTTTATAATTTGTAACATAAATTTCAAACTTTATTATATTAGAAGTTATGACACGCAATAGTGGGATTTCATGAGTAGGCAAAAGGAGGGTTCTGTGCCACTTAACAGTATCATTGACTAACTTAAAGAGAAAACCTTCTACATATCAATATTTATTATTTGATGATTTGAATTCAGTTTTCCTAATCTCCCTCCATTAAAGAATTTCTCAATTAGAGAGGCATAATTTTAAGAGAGATTTTTGTCAATGAAAATATTGCTGATATATATCCATTGTATAGAGGGATCTAATAAATGGATGATGGTCTCTGAGATAGTTTCGTAGGCTTCGTTTATTACTATTTTTTAAATAATTCAACTAACAATAAAACTATTTATTTATTCAATTTTATTTCATGTTTAAAAAAGTTATTTTATTTTAAGAAGTTCTATAAGCAACTTTCACATGTTATGGGTATTTTCAAAATAATTTTTTTCTTCGACTACACCCATTCTTGATGATTCAAATTGCGTTGACGATTCATATTGTCATAAATCCTTTAGGAAGTTGTTGGAAGACAATGGCGAACATTTCACCACTTATCTGCCATCCTTTTAGATCTTTATTACAAAGCAACCACATCTAGTTCCTAGTTGATGCTACTCCTAAGATATTTGTCACATAGTTCGCTAAAAATTCCCTCTTATATCTCCAATATAGATCGATTATGTAATGTTGCATCCATGTTGATGATTCTCCCCAGTTCTCCCCATGCTTCCTATCTCAAATCATCGTTGCTTTTGTATCTCAAATCTTCTTGACCTAGCTCCATTTATGTTTTCATTGCTAGGAGTGCGTTCACAAAATTGAGAAGTAAATAGGTAGGAATGGTGATTTTATCTTAATCTTGCTCATGATACAAGGGGGATTCTCAAAGCTAGGATGAGTCAAGCCGGCTGTGATCCAGCTTGAGGTCAACTCGATAACGAGTCGAGCTTCTCGAGTTTTGAGCTCGAGCTAGCACATATTTACAAGCTCGTTGGGTAATAGAGCTCGAGTTTGATTGAGTTGCTATTAGAGGTGGAAGTAAATCATGCAACGAACACAAAACAAGAAGTAGAGAAGCAAAAATAAGAGGGCACCAGGATTTATTGTGGAAAAATCCAAAATCGGGAAAAAAAACCACGGAGCCACACCACATCAAGAAATCCACTATGAAAATTGAGAAAAATTTGTACAGATCTATCCTCTCTCGCTCTCTCTATGCTTCTCTTCACTCTTACACTATTCTCGCACTCCCAACAAAAGAGAAAGTAAAGTAAGTAACACCAAGGGCTGCTACGCTTAAGAAAAATGATAAAAAAATGTTAAGTCTGCCTCGAAGCGTTGCGGTGCTCAAATCTCTGTCATCGGTCAATCTAACAGTGCTGCGGTGCTAAGCTCTCTGTCATTTTTCTCAACAAACTTTGCAACACCGGGGTGCTCGGGAACACATCACTGGCACACTTGGGTTCACAACACCAAAGCATTGTACGAAAAAAAAATTGCATCTTAACCCAAGCAAGGAGAGTAACTCCCCCCTAGCAAGCATAATAAATTGAATTGAGGTCCAAGGTAACAATACAACCTGATTGATCGACACAATTAATTGATCGACACAATCAGATTCCACACAGACTAATAGTTGCTGCTCAATTCGTTGGCCCATCAAATAGCTTGAGCAGGTTGAATAGGTGGAAGCGGAAGTGAAAAAGTGTAATATCCAATTACATATAGTCGAACCGAATCAAATAGTGCTTTCTATTTTGTTTTTGCTTGCGAAGTGCAAGCTGGGATTTTAGGGCTTTCTCTTTAGTTGCTATGGTTTGTGAGCGAGGAGAGATCATTTGACAACTGCTTAGAAATTTCTCTATGTTTCTTATCTCTCACTTGTATCTTCATTCCCTTTTCAAGAACTTTATCTATCAATTTCCCATATTTTGTAACAACCACACTAGGAGTTCGAGACAGATGGCTCCTGCTCCGACTAGGGGTTTTTTAGGCCGTTCGTCTTCTTCCTGAAAGCTAAAAATTTTGAGGTTATATTGCTTTCAATTAGATGCTAGTGGGTTTATGCAAGCCCTTATGCCTTATTGTTAGAATGTTGCTTGGATCTTCCATTTCTTTAATAATTACAAGAATAATTTGGTTTCATAAAGTTAGCCAAATATGATTACTTGGAAGTTGGAGTCCTAGGATCTTGCATTGGTTTTCTTGATTTGCACCCTTCTTTAAAGCTGTTGCAAAATGTCAAATTTTAAACTAGCTTAACAAGAAAATTTCATAAAAATTACCTTCTATTTTAGCCTGCAATCGAGACTGAGATTCGAAGACACGCATCGAGTTCAAGCAGTCTAAAAATTATGTGAGTTGTGCTCGAACTTGCCATGAATCGCCTTACTCAAAGCTGAAATAGTATTAATTATATCACTTTTCTTTCTAAAATTTCTTAGCAGAAGGTGCTAAACATAGTTTAATTTGCAAAATGTCAAATTTTAAACTAGCTTAACAAGAAAATTTCATAAAAATTACCTTTTATTTTAGCCCGCAATCGAGACTGAGATTCGAAGGCATGCATCGAGTTCAAGCAGTCTAAAAATTATGCGAGCTATGCTCGAACTTGCCATGTATCGCCTTACTCAAAGCTGAAATAGTATTAATTATATCACTATTCTTTCTAAAAATTCTTAGCAGAAGGTGCAAAGATTAGTTTAATTGTTTATCTAAACATTTAAAAGGGGAAAAAACTAATAGAAAATAAGAGTGAACCCAAACAGCCCTTTGTGCTAAATCTTATTTATGTATTTACATCTTATAATGTGCCGATAGACAAACTGAATGACATCCTCTCATAGCAAAAGCTAGTGGGCCTTAGCTTGCTTAACTCAAGAGTCTTTTTCTGAAGACAAGGTAGGAGAGAACCTCATTATAATGCTTAGTTTGGTCGAGACACTCACCAGCTAAAGGTTTGTCTTCTAGCGGCCTGAGCCTGGACAAGACGACATCCTCTGCCAAAAGTTGCTTCACTCTCTTCAGCTTATTTGCATGGTTTGTCTGGGAGTTGCTAGTTTAAAAGAGAGGCCAAGTATAAACCGTTCAATGGAAGAAAAAAAGAAGATCAGTTAATCTAGTTATTCTGAAATTGAAAATGAAGAAAGAATTGTGCCGTCTCTTGTCAGAAATTTGAGAACTTAGTGTAAGTTTCCAATAAGTCAGACTGCATATGCTAAATTTATGAGAAATGCTTGATAACCGTTCATTTTTTGAAATTCCAACGTCATTCAGCTTCTTTCAGCCATTTCTTCACGTAATGATTATATTTCTTGAATAAAATCTGAAAATTTTGCCAAATATATTATTGCATAACAAATTTGAAGAGCAGAGTACTAAAAAACTTCGATGCGCTGCAGGTTTGCTCGGCTTGGCGAGCGATCTCGTTCTCGGAAGTCCTATGGCAGGATCTCACACGCCGCGTGTGGTCCCCGCGCCACCGCCGCCGCCTCCCTTCCTGGCGGGAAGAGTTTATCTCACTCCACCGAACCGCTGCCAACTTCCGCGCCGGCCGCTGCCTGCACAACCACATTCATCCACCCATCTCTCCCGCCCTCTTCTGTCGCCGTCTCGCTTTCTCCGACCGCTACCTTGCCACCGGCTTCAGCGACGGTTCAGTTCGCCTTTACAATCTCCCAGTCGCCGCTCTTCTCGCAGTGTACGACCTCCACCTCCACCGCGACCGTTTGGGCCACTTCTCCACATCCATCTCCGGCATTATTCTCCTACGCAATCAGCTCGTGTTCGCTTCCCAGGACGGAGACATTGGCGTTGCGGCCATCGCAGATGACAACAACTTCGTTAACGCCGTTGCTCGTCGTGCTCGTGCCGGCAACCCCGTAGAGAACGGAACCCTCGTGGATTTCGTCGGGGACGGGAGATGGTGGGTGGGGCTTTTTGCTGGGGCGCCGGGGTGGTCGTGGCGGGTGTGGGACGGGGAGACAGAGCAGCAGGTATATGCGGGCGGATCGCTCACGGACAGGGACTCTGTCGCTGGCTGGCATATGCTGGCGGACATCAGCGGGCCGTCGGTGGCGCGCGTTGGCGTGGCGGAGTCGGGCGTGGTGATTGGATGTACCAGCTCTCGGGTGCAAACCGTGAGCGTGGAAGGAGAAGTGGAAGTGATAGCGGAGATGGAGCTGAGGCGGGCGGCGGCGGCGGATGCGTTGGGGGCGAGTGATGGGAGGGTGGTGGTGGTGGACGGAGGTTTCAGAGGGTGGAGTTAGGCAATGCTGTTTATTTTTTTGTCAATTTTATCTTCCTTCAGCTTCTATTCTATCTATATAATCCTATTTCTGTTGAAGTTAACCAATTCTGCATTATCTTATTTCTTGTATGTGCTTGATTGCTTTTATTTTTGGAAAATAGTTTGCAAGAGGAAAAATTATTGCGCCGAAGCGAAACCCTGTCCGGATATCTAAGCCCGTGGCTTGGTACCGCTCGCTATCATGATTCGGTATCGCTGACGTGGCTCATTCTAATTGATATCAGGATATAGAATTTTGTTCGGCGTCCGCACAGAATAATCTCTCGTGCAAGAGGGTATCATCCTAAAAATTTGTTTAAAATTCTTTATATTTAGAAAATTAATTTTTTTAGAATAACTTTCTTGTTAAATTACAAGGATAGAGTGTCGAACTACTTTCTGTAGACAAGAAGCCAATTTCCTTTTGTTGAAAATGCCAAATGCTATGACAAAAATGGTCATTATAAAGTGTCTTAATTTATGCCCTTATCAGAGCGGAGCTCTAACAAAATGTGACAAAGGGTTTTTGCAAATACATCACGTAGCAATAATGGTAATTTTGCAGCGATTTTGAAGCTGTTTAAAAAAAACTTAGTAATCTTTATTGCTGCAGTAGCCAGTACGGATAAAAAAATTGCTTACTATTGAGAGATTATTGGGTTTAGACACCGGACACAGCTTGACGGACTCACCCGTTACCCGCGAGAAGAAAGTCTGGTTCCGCCCGAGCGAAGGACCTGCAAGAAAATGAAGGAAGAACAGGCAATAGAACAGTAATTTTGGGTAGAAGTATATTTCTTGTATTCCCTGTAGTGAGCTGTAAAAATACTTATATAGCAGCCACTACTTCTGCCAGTAACGAACTTAGGGAAAAGAAGGGAAATAAAGCAGTAACTAGGTAGTGGGTGTGTGTGTAACATTATTGTGTGCCAAGAGTAAAACAGCCAGTGTGGCTGAGAGCCTGTAGCGGTTTATGGTCCCCATCACAGCTTGCGCTCGGTATTGTGAATCGAGCAGTACGAACCAGTACCGAGCTGCTGCAGTAGCCAGTACGGGTAAAAAAATTGCTTACTTTTGAGATATTATTGGGTTCGGACATCGGACACAGCTTGCGCTCGGTGCTATGAACCAAGCAGTACTGAGCTCGGTATTGAGCAGTACCGAGCTCGGTATTGCTGGGTACTGCTCAGTATCGAGTAGGAGGTGATGTGACGTATTTTCATTTGTTTCGGACGGTGTCCGGTGACCGGACCCAATAATTTGCCCTTCTTTTGATGGTGTTCTTGGGCGTCATCCGTTCATTATTAGTTTCGTTACAAATGGATCCCAAATCTTGCATCTTAAGGTTTGCCTTCGCTGATCTCCTCTCTCATATTTAAACTTCCACTAACGTTCTCAACAACATTGCTAGATTTTAAGAGAAAGCAAGTGCAGAATTTTTCTTAATAACCTTGCACGTAACCTTACAGGAAAAGGAATAGATAGTTTTAAACAAAACTCAAAACCAAACCAACACAGCACAACAAAAGACACATTTTCATTAAAACTGATTAAGTTTTTAATAAAAACTTAAATATTATGACCTATTTTTCATTAATATCAAATATAACTATTTAATGCAAAATTTCTACATCAAGATTTGATCTGAATCTTTCAAATTTTAATAAATTGAGATCATTTGTAAATTCATTTGCAACTTGATTTTTGGTAGAACATTGCTTGATTGTAATAATTCCTTTTGCCACAACTTCTCTCACAAGATAACGTCGGAGTTTTATATACTCTGATTTATCATGAAATAATGTATTTTTCATCATAGATATTACAAATTTATCATCACAAAATATCTCTGTTGACTTTAATTGAGAATGTTGAAAATATTCTAATATTCTGATAATCTAAATTGTTTGACATGTTTCTAATGAAGCTGCAATGTGTTCAGCTTCTAATGATGATAATATTATACTAGCTTGCTTCTTTGTGCTCCAAGATATTGCTCCAGATTTAAGATTGAATATAAATCCACTTGTGCTCTTCCTATCTTCTTTGGAACCTTCCCAATTATTATCAATAAAATCAATTAAATTAAAGTTAGAAATTAATTTATACCAAATCTCATAATTTGCTGTCTCTCGAATATTTTGAAGAATGTGTTTGGCTGTCCAAAATGATGTATATAAAGATTATGTATAAATTTTGAAATAATATTGACTGAGTACATAATACGAGGTCTAATATGTGTTTAGTACATAAGATCACCCACAATTCATCTAAATGTTTTCTTTTTTGCCTTAGTTGTACAATCATTTTGAACAAGTTTTTTATTTATATTCATGAGTGCTAAAAAAAGTCTTGTTCAACATATTATACTATACTTTCGTAGTAACTATATGCAAACATTTCCTAAGGTATAAAAATCCAAAATCATCTATTTAAATAATTTATAAACATAGAAAATTGTGCAACAACTTCAAATCAATCATAACAAATTCTCTTATCATATTTGCCTCAAACTTTTTAATCAACACTTTAAATGATGTAGAGTAAATAATATCAACAATATAAACACAAAATAAGCAAATCATCATTTTTAGTTAACATATATAAGGTTGGTTCACTTTCACTTCTATAAAATCCCTTCTTTTGAAAGTGTGAATCAAACCTCCAATATCATACTTTTTGTGCCTATTTAAGCCCATAGAGTACATTCTTTAATAAAATATCTCCTCTTTGTCTTTACTAAAAAAACATTATGATTGATCTATGTATATATCTTCTTCTAAATTACCATTTAAAAAGCATATTTAATGTCAATCTAAAAAAAATTCACTTCATTTATGTAGCTAATGCAAAAAATAATCTAACAATTTCAAATCTAACAACAAGAGAAAGGGTTTTAATAAAATCAATACCATATTTTTGAGCATAATCTTTAACAACAAGCATTGTTTTGTATCTTTTAATGCTTCCATCTGAAATGAACACCTTGTAAATCCATTTCACACCAATGGGAGCTTCACTTTGTGGCTTATTAATAAGCTCCCAAGTATCATTCATCTTAATACCTTGAATATCCACTTTCATAGAAGTTTCCAATTATTCTTTTTCACAAACATCTTCATAACATAATGATTTTGTAACCATAAAAGTAAATATACAATCATATAACTCATGCAAGGATCACATCTTTCTATGTTGCCTTTCATCAGATGTGCTTGAATATATTAATCTTGAAATTGAAAGGGATGAATTAGATGATAAATCATCACTAATTCCTTGATTGTTAGTGATATCAATTTGATGATTCATCTCAAATTCAACTATTTTTTTCTTTATCATGAATTATATATTCACTCAAATCTCACATACCACCTTCATCAAACATAACATATCTACTCATAATATTCTTTCAAACAGTGGATCAAATAATTTATACGCCATTGACTAAATATTGTAACCAATAAATATTAATATTTTAGATTTGCTATCCAATTTGCTTCCATTGTGATCATCCTCCAATGCACATACAATACTTTTAAATATTTTCAAATGATTGATTACATGATTTCTACCATTCCATGCTTTATAAGATGTAATATTTTGAGCAACATTTGTTGGGGAAATATTTAAAATATAAATAACAATTTCACTAGGTGCAACCCAAAATATATTTGATAAATTCTTCAATTTCAACATACTTCTTGCCTTCTCTGTAACAATTCTGTTCTTTCTTTCAACAACCTCATTTTGTTATGGTGTATTAGAAGCAGTTAATTCTGTAAAGTTATATTACATATCATAATATTTGTCAAACTCATTTGATGTAAACTCTTCAAATCAATTTATGTGCAAAATTTCATATACTTGCCACTTTGATTCTCAACTAATGCTTTAAAATACATAATTTTTTTTAAAGACTTATGATTCATGCTTAAAAAAATATACCCATTTCATTTATCCGTAATCATCTATAAATAGAAGAAAATCTTATTTAAATAGAGTTAAATATGATTTCTTTGACATATCAATCTCTTTGAAAAGAGATTTTAATTCAGTCATATGATCAGCACAACCACTATTAAGGAATTAGATTTTTGAATTATCACAATGACCTTAAAAATGTATCATAAATAAAATATTTTGATCTGTTATATTCTCTGCAACATTATCTTATTTTTGTTAGACCAATATCTATTTTTAAATGTCCAAGCTTCTTGCAAAAATCACAATGCATTTTATCCATGCCTTCTTGATTCCTTTGCTTGTTCAAGCAGTTTGTCTCAATATGATAAATTTTTAAAAATAATAGCATTATTTTTTTACCTCCAATTAATGTTTTATCTTCGTAGGTTCCTCTTGCATGAAATGCAACACGACCACCTCTTCCTTTAAAAGCACATGTTGCTCCTCTACCACGACTTTCTTCTTTATTATTACTAAATAAAATTTCCTTCACCTGAAATGCCTTCTCATATGTCTTCACTTTTCTTCTATTTAATCTCTCCTCACGAGCCATCAAAGAACTAATCATCTCATTAAAGAATACACAAGATCTTTGGATTCTTCAATAGCAGCCATCACATGTTCAAAATTGGATGGGAGACTCTTTAGGACTTTGGAAACTACTATTTCATTAGGCATTTTCTCTCCTAATGATCGCATTTTATTCACAATTATTGATACACGAGAGAGATGATTCTAAAAACCTTCTCCTTCACTCATATTCATGATTTCAAAGTCACATCACATAGATTGCATCTTTACTATCTTTACTATGGTAAAACCTTTAAATTCTTTCTCTAAAATATCCCAAGCTTCTTTTGTTTGAAGTCTCTGTTATAGAAATTCTTAAAAAAAGTTACCATCCGTATCTTGTTGAATGAAAAATAAAGCCTTCGAATCCTTCTTCTTGCTATATTTATGTGTCCCTTCATCTTCTCCAACACACCATTCACCATATGATCACATAAATCTTGTGAA